ATATATATATATATATACACACACACACACACACACACTTATTTATTTCTGTCGGTAGTTAAAGTTGGCTGGAATGTGCTGAAAGCCAGTAACTTCAGCATGTTTAAGTCACATTTGACTGAACTTTACAGGGAACAACTTTGACAAAATAATTTGTTTCTTCAACCTTCTCAACTTCTTAGTGACTGCATACATTTTTTCTGTTGATTAGTCTTAGTAAAGTTGTACATTTTGTGGAGGATAAAAAGCTAAATTTTTTGGGGTCTTCATAAAGGTAAAGGATGATAAACTGCTTTCCTACGGAAGTGCTAAGCTGGCAACTCCAACTCTATCAAAAGCTTAAGAAGCATTGCTAATAGATGATAGCTCTTTTTTCCGATGTAAAGACACTAGAAAGAGACACATAAGCTTCTTGAAATCGATGGGTACTTAGTTGTATAATGTTTCTCTCAGGACTTCTAGTTTACAAATAATAGTTTTAGTTCATATTGCTATAACTTCAAATAATAGTATTAGTTCATATTGTTTCCTAAATCTCCACTCCATTCTCACCATTTTATGCTGTTGGCTTCTAGGTTTCTATTCCATATGGAAATCCTACAGAATTTTCAATCTTCGATAGTCGGGGAGTTGAGCATCTTTTGAAGGCTGAGAACGATCAAGGAGACATTAGCTGGTAAATCACAACCCACCCCCACCCCACCCCACAAAANAAAAAAAAAAAAAGGGAAAAGAAGAAGAAAGACTGAAATAAAGAAGAAAAAGGAAAAAAACAATTGGTATGTTCCTTTTTCATAGTTATGGACAAACCAGCTTTTAAAAAGAGTTGTTCAAGTGGTTCTAACATCTGCTTCTCAAAATCTTTCAACCCAGATGAAGCAACACATAGCAGATTCTTGACTTCCTTACCTGTTATCATTTTTATGTTCTGCTTCTGTTAGGAAGCATTCATGTCACATCAATATGTCATCGACATTTTACCTTTTTTATATTTCACTTTCTTCTTCTGCATGTGTCCATTTTACTTTTCCCAACAAATTATCATAAAATTCATTTTCTCTATTTAAGTGACATGTGGCTCTATTTTGCAGTTCAAGGGATACAATTGTCCTAACCATGAGACTGTTTATTATAAGGGTATGACTTCTACAATCTGAAAGTTATTTCTATAATATGATGTGAATGATACATGTATTCTATTGGGTTCCAAAGAAATTTACGGGCTATTTTGAGTGTTACAACATAATGCATTTGTGGTCTAGATCTGTCATGTGCTCCTTTTCTTTTACTCCTATTCTGAGTCATGGTTCAGATCATGTAATTTTTATTTCTTTGCTTTAGCAAGAAACTCGGGTAGCATCTGATAGGTGCATTACCACATGTGAATTTGTATGTCTTGGTAAAACTGTGAATTTCTCTGCACGAAGAGCTCTGTCAGCTAGCACCAAAAGCTCTTCCGGCGAGATCTGTACTGTACCTGTTTCTTTTATTTCTTTGCTTTAGCATGAAACTCAGCTAGCATCTAATATAAGATTCCCACACATGAATTTGTACGTTCTGGTTGACAATTATTCACTTTTATGTTACTTTGGTAGTGATTATGATATGACTTGAGCTTAAAGAAAGAAGGGTCCATATAGCCGATCTCAACTTGTTTGGGACTGAGGCATAGTTGTTGATTGACAATAGCCGCAAAACTGTGTATCTTTGCACAAAAGGCTCTCTCTTTTCATTAATCAAATTCCGACACAGGTTTTTTCTTTTTGATGATGAAGTAAAAAGATATCATTAAAGAGCATCAGGCAGATGCTAGGCAAAAGAGTTGCAGAATAGAGTTAACTCCAGTACATGAGACCGACACAGGATCTTTAATCAACCATCAGCGTATCTGGTGTTATATCTTTCATGTGTTAGATGCTTCTTTATAATCTAGTGTTATTTTTTGTGGAGTGGCACTTCTATATTCTTCACATATTTGACATTGGAACCTGTTGCTGCATCTTTTAGTACCTACTAGTTAAGTTACTGCAGCATCATTATGATTTCTTCCTAGGCAAAAAACACTGGGTGTTTTTTTCCTATTTGTCTAAGCCTTGGTGGGCAAAATTACCTGGTAGTTGTGCTTGTGGGAGATAGTAGGTAGCCGGTGGAATAGTTGGGGTGTGCGAAAGCTGACCCTAACACCACCATCATAAAAAGAATTATGTGATCTTTGTACATTACTGAAGAGTATTGATACGCCAGTCTTTGAGGATGACCACATGCTTACTGATGTCAATTAATACCATGTGGATACTAAATCATGGTTTTGGGAATTCAGCGATGAAATTTCTAGAGCATTTTGTCTTCTTGTTGTGGCTAAATCAGTGAAGTTCTTAGATGGCTAGTTAATTGTGAAGGTGATGAGTGGCAAGGATTGGTGCTAAAATCTTGATGTAAAGGTGTTTTTTTTCTTCATTAGTTGTTAGCTTGTTTCTAACATCAGTTTTGAAGCTCCAATTATTTGTGACATTCTCCTTTGGATCTCATTGTTGAACTTGTTGCAGGCTGGTGAGAAGAAAAAAGGAAGGAGGAGAGGGTTGTTCTTCAACAAGTGAAAAGGCCATTGTCAGCCTACCAAAAACCATATTTATTAGTGATACTTGTATTCTTTTGTGAGTAGTTAAGCTTCTAGATTTGAATTTCTTTTGTTATTTTTGGGTTAATCGTCCTCTTATATTTTGTAAGTTCAGGTTATCATTGGCCCCATCCCCGACCTATTATTTTTCTTTTTATTTATATCTTACAAGAAAAGAAAGAGAAAAGACTTATCCGAATAAGATAAAAAGAGATGAAATATGCATCATTACAGAGGAAGAAAAAATTGGAGGAAAAACATTTTCTTGAAGTAATTTGAATATTCATGTAAATCTCGAAAACTTTACAAAATTTTAATGATGTCAGAAGTGATTGTGGTTAATAACTTTTGGTGGCCTTTAAACTAAATGAGAAATTAAGTCTAGGCGTTTGAATTGTTTTTCCATTCCGCAAGTAAAATGGTTCGTATGTCAAGTTAGATGCCATCATTTGGCCATTAAAAATGAGATGCTATGTACTTCTATTTCTGTCCCAGATCATTTATGGAGACTATCTTCTTTATATGCCTAGCTCCTGTGGACGCAATCTTATTTTCCTTTTAGATCTATATAATTAATTGACCCTTTTTTTTCTTTTTCTTAAGCTAGTCAATTAAGCCATACAGAAATTAAAAGAAATCTTGAGATGAATATTGTTGGAACGTTAAATTAAAGTGGAGGAAATGGAGTCCACAGGGTTGATGCCTGTTTAGTTAAGCTTTTAAGATCAGGTATGTTCTCCATCTCAGTTATGTTCCATTTTGGCACTTCAACCCCATTCCTTTCGTGTCATTTTAACACAAAAAGCTAACTTGTTACATTAGTTGAGTTTCCTCACTTGATAGGCGCGTAAGATTTTATTTTAATAATAATAAAAGGCCATAAAATTACAATTAAAGTCCATTTAAATGCCCACCCTCCTCTCCCATTATCTTCCATCTCCTCTTCAAAATAATCCTTATTTCCTGTCTGTTTCGCTCTTCATCTCCGTGATAACTTCAAAGTCTGGCTTTTTGCAATTTCTTTCTTTATTCTTTGTTTCGTTTCTTCATTTAATAATATCCCAAAGCCAAACCCAGATCTTCATCCGAAGCTTGAATTTTTCATGTGAACCCATGTCTCCAATTCTCAAACCACCAGAAAAACAAAAAGAAAAAACTTTAATGCATGGCTAAAGGGACACTGTCAGCAGGGGCGGAGCTAGCCCTCCGCTTACGAGTTCGGCTGAACCAGTAGCTTTTGTGCGTTTGTCTTGTGAAATTCATGTTATATGTACAAATTAATAGTTTTGAACCCAGTAACTTAAAAGAACTAGAATCCCGAACCCATAAACTTTAAATTCTGGCTCCGCCTCTAACTATCAGTACAAGAACCACGACAATAAACAATGGTTACTCCCGAAAAGAGCCTTAACTATCAACTGTACAATGAAATATGAAGAATTAATTTATAAAAATATGATTCTTGTCCTTATATTATAAAGAATCCTTCAATAATCGTTGGTTTCATCTCCTAAGGCTAGGGACTTGTGGAGTGGGTTTAGGACAGACGACTTTGGGAATTAGAGAAAATAAGGGATTTTTATTTTAGGGTAACCGATCTGGGTAAATAATTTACATAACCGAGTTTTTGGGTTAAATCCAGTTGACAAGGATAAAAAAACAAGTGTCTAAATCTAATTGGATGGTTGTTACACATTAGAAGCAAGTATAAATACGTGTTGCATTTTTACATCGGATAAAAGTTTTTGTGTTAAAATGACACATAGAAATAGGGTTATAATGCTAAAATGGAACATAGCTGAGATGAAGTGCCAAAAAAAAAATTGATGCCAAGTTATTTGAGGCCTTTTTACAATAGCAACTTTGCATTTAACTAAATCATTTATGGTGCTCCCTCTGTTTTAATTTAGATGACACACTTTCCCTATTAGTCTGTTAAAAAAAGAATGACCTATTTCTACAATTGAAAATAATTTAAATTTAAATTCTTCATTTTACCCTTAATGAGAAACTTTTATAACTGTATACGGTAGAAACCGACGGTTCGATTTTACGATCATCAAGGCATCTCGAGGATTTTCAGTGATCGACTTCGAGGTGGTGTAAATAACGACCGGCCTCGAGGCAATGTAAATCAGTGGTCTCGATGGATCAGGGCGAAGTTCCCAAGGTGCGTACATATGGCTGACAAAGCCTAGCGGACTAGTCCAAAAAGCGAATCAAGACATTAAATGGCTGTACCGGCTCCATATCTTTGTAATCAATGCATCTGTACTATGTTGGGATTCCCCTCATATATAAAGGGGATTCTTGTCATTTTGTAAACACCTGTTGCTCAATACTAAATACACACGAACATTCTCTCTGCTCTCTAACATATTCTCTTGATCTCATCACTTCATTTATTGCTTATACTTATTGTGTTCTATTTATTGTTCTTCATTTATTGCTTATTATTGGTCATAAAGAGCCGTCATTGATTTATTTATAACTGTTAGTCTCCATCGACTACCCTCGGCGGGGCATTAGACTCGACCCCGAAGCCCCGAATAAGTAAGCTCGAGGCCCCGATCGACAGCCATTCGGTTTGGTTAACATCTTGCTTTAAGCTCATTTCTTGATTCCAAGTACCTCACTTAGCATCTATTGCCCTAACAACTAGCATAGAAATAAATCACGTATTTTTAGAATCACAAAATTAAATTTAATTGTTATTACCATTTTCACGGTAAACAGTTTGGTGCCCACTGTGGGGCTAAACATAATAGTGATTATTTTCTTGCTAGTTTTACTACACAACGCAAGTTACCTTTGACACTTTTTCTTGTCCAAGATCTTTGATTTCAGGTTAAAATGTCTAACTCGGTAAATGGAGGCAGAAACAATAATCTTGAGGACCATGGATAGAATGGTGTGGACGTTCCAGGTGTCAGTGTACCACCACGAAACCCTGAGAATGCACCAGAACCAATTACCGTGGACGTGGTCTCACGCGATGCCCAACACGTCGATATAAGCTCCCACACTAACAGGAGCGTGCACCATGGAGACCAACAAGAAGCTCAGAAAACCCCGGTTAGGGAAGAACGGGAGGTTAGCCTTCACGTTATTTTTGAAATGTTGCAGGCATAACAACTGGCGATTGCTCAGCTGCAAAGTCACCAGAAAACTCCCGGTACGGTAACACCAGGGACGGCTCCCCCAGCCGAGCAGGTACCGGAGAGATCAAGCAACAACGGGTCGGCAGCCGACCCCACCATCGTAAAGATGCTCGAGGACCTCACAAAGAGGATTGAGTTGGGCAAGAAGAAGATAGAAGCCAACGATAAGAAGGTAGAGACCTACAATTCCAGGGTCGATCAAATTTCGGGCGCACCCCTTATTCTAAAAGGGTTAGATTCGAAGAAGTTCGTGAAAAAGCCGTTCCCATAGGAAGAGGCCCCAAAACCCATCCCAAAGAACTTCAGAATGCCCGAGCTTCCGAAGTACAACAGAACCTCGGACCCCAATGAGCATGTCACTGCATACACTTGCGCAGTGAAGGGCAACGACATAAAGGACAACGAGATCGAGTCCGTCTTACTAACGAAGTTCAAGGAAACACTCTCGAAATGGGCCATGATGTGGTATCACAACCTAGCTCCTAACTCTATAAACTCGTTTGCCATGCTGGTAGATTCTTTCATAAAGGCACATGCCGGTGCCATCAAAGTAGCAACAAGGAAATCCGACGTCTTCAAGATCAAGCAGAGGGAGAATGAGATGCTGCGAGAGTTCATATCTTGCTTTCAAATAGAACGAATGGAACTACCACCAGTCTCCAACGACTGGGCAGTGTAGGACTTCACCCAAGGTATGGATGAACGAAGCTCGGTGGCTTCGAAGTAGCTGAAATAGAACCTAGTCGAGTATCCCGCTGTGACCTGGTCGGACCTCCACAACCGATACTAGTCAAAGATCAGGGTCAAAGACGACCAACTAGGAGCCCCTCGGGCTCAGTATATCCCAGCAGGCTTCCAGCAAAAGAGCCAAAGCCAAACAAGGAAAGATACCAACTATATACTGAAGATAAAAGAAATGCCCCGAGGTGCAACATACCCCGCAATGATCGAAGGATGGACCGAGGCCAGAATCCACGGGGACTTGTCGGCAGAACTGGGTTCGGCAGGTACACAGGGCCAACGGAGGCACCTCGCTTGTCGGAATACAACTTCAATGTCGACATATCGGACATCATGTTCGCCATAAGTAAAATTAGAGACACCAGGTGGCCAAGGCCTGTACAATCAGACCCTTCACAAAGGAACCATAATTTATTATGTGAATTTCACAATATGCATGGGCACAGGATTGAAAATTGCTACAACTCCGGGAAGAAGTGGCCCGATTACTCAGCAAAGGTCACCTCCGGGAATTCCTCAGCGACCTGGCCAAAAATCAGTTCCGGGAAAGAGAGACGACCAAAAAGAGCGAAGCAGATAAGCCGCAACATGTCATCCATACGATCTTTTGAGGTGTCGGCGCCCTGCAGGAACCCACGGCCAGGAGAACAAAAACATCCATCGACAGGGAAACGCGAACTCGAGGCTCTATCCCAACCCCATAATGGCACACTAGTAACTTCTTTTCTTGTGAACACATTTTAAATTAAACATGTACTTGTGGGTCCAGGTAGCTCGGCCAATATTATCAGATCGAAGGTGATAGAGCAACTCTGATTGCTTGACCAAATTATGACTGCCTTTCTAAGTCCTCAACGGACTCAACACGGCGAACAAAACAACGAAAGGGAAAACCGCCATACCAGTCAGTGTGGTCGGCACAACCCAAAACACCAATATCTCCACCATCGAAGGGGCTGAAGGATAAACAAATAGTGAACTAGCGACCACAAGGCATGTTCTCGGTTGTACCCGAATGAACAAAGTAGAGGACCGTACCACGTCCTCATCACAAGCGACTGAAACATACCAGGACTCAAAACACCGCCGGCATATTCTACACTAAGGTTTGACCGTCTCCTTTTTTTCTTTCAATTAAATTCTACACTAACCTGAGTGCAGGTATTCGGTCGAAACGGCCAAAGCACCGTCCAACTCGAAGGCCTTAGGTTTCAAAAGCATGCGTTGCATTCTTTTCC